AGTATATATGTATTTACAGATACAGTTGCCAGTTACCTTGGATGTGAAAGAGGTTGATATCCCTCGCCTAGATACTGCGGTCAGAGCTGATCTTTTATAAGAGATACCTCAGAACAATTACAGCCATTTGTGGGTACCCAGGCTATGCACGTTCAGAAAAATTGGTACTAGGAAGTGAACTTTGACCTTTTAGAAACCTTACCATATAATGTTCTTTTATGTTTTCTGTTAAGTGCTGTACAAGCTGCTCTAGTCAAAATGTTGCTACACTTAAATTTCACAGAAGATTCAACTCTCTTCCAGGACTAAAAAGAATGCCTGTGACTGCAGGTTGAGTGCTTCATGTTACTTTATGACTTTGTCTAGTGAGGCTGAATTTTTCTCTTTTGGATTGTTTGGTAAATTTAAATGAATTATAAGCTTTCGCCACGCCCAGGGAAGTTTATGATATTACATTAGGCAGGTTACAAAGGAAGGTAGTTATGATTTCTATTTATAACTTTTTACCAAAGGCCAAGTTACCCTAATTTCTAGCAGTATGTGTTCAATTTAGGCTCATATAAAATTATACTTTCCAGCAAGTACATACATCCCTGTAACGAATGAATGATCGTCTTGAGGTAATTCTGAAGAATTTTATTGAATTTTCAGGTGAACTCAATGTACATATTTTTCCCTACTTGGCCTTCAAATTACCTCGAATCTGACATAGGGATAGTATAAATAAGCCGTATACTTCTCCAGAGACGGACTGGACCCACGCAAATGAAACTTCTTGGGCGCTTGCGAGGAAAAGTTTTCGTTACACTTTAATGCTAAGTATTATATTTACCAAATAGTTTTACCTTATTCCTTACTTGAAATCATTGCACACAAATTACACAAAATATTCATTGCACCCGCACTTTCTTCGCAATCCTCTTAACCGCATTCGCATTGTGCCACAAGACGCCTTACCGCCGCCGTGCAAATGAAGCGAAATGACACGAAATATCGCCATCTGTGAATTGTGGTGGAAGTTGTATTCAAAAATAGGAAAAGACGTATAGAACCAAGAGGCAAACAAGCGAGTGTAGCCATAAAATCTATTGCACGGCAGACACCATTCACGGCAATGTTGGCGAAAAACGAAGACAATTCCTAGACACAGCGGAAGAAATGAAGTTTTTGGCTGCACTGAAAAAGAGCTCTATTGAATTTGAACAAGTGTACATACATACATACATAGACAATCGACCACTTTGAAAGAACCCAGCAGGAAATGCAACTGTTGCGCTTCTACTAAATTTGACTCTACATTAGTGCAGTGGCCTAATAAGCTGTTGTTTCGTATTTGGCAAACTAGCATGCGGAGCTACAGACCTTATTGTCTACATACATGCATATCGAAAAGTATGCAACTTTAGCAGCTCGATAGCCGCAGACTCGACTACAGTTGCCCCCCTGCTGCAGTCTACTTTTGTGCGAACAAATTCTAAAGTTGCAGCAAATGATAAAAAATGACTGTGAAGATGAACTGCGAAAGCGATTGGCAAACTTCGACAAACAGTCGCTGCTGCAGTGTGCAACAACAACAACTACTATAAATAAGTATACGCGCGCCACCACGCAGCACGTAGTGAGAGTGAATTTCTTAAGTTTCCAATTAAAAGCTCAAGTTAAATGAATCGAAAATTGAACGCTATTGCGTAGGAGTTGCGCTTGCATGCACTGCACGCGAAACGACTGTCTGCTTGCACTTAATTTATTGCTTGTTTGTGGTAGTTAGCGAATTGCACGTTGCGAATACCAAATTTTTATTTGTTTGTTTTTGTCGACGTCATTCTTCATTTGTGGAGCGTGAGTGCGTCGAGCTTTTAATGCGGTGTTGCAAAGCTCAAATTCATTAGGTGAATTAGTTTTGGGTTGAAAAAAAATAATAAAAAAAAACATTGTCAATTCAAGCGAAGGTGAGACGTTGTTATGTACTTTGGTGCATACTTTTAGTCTGTTTTATTATGCGGCACAAACTAGCAGTCTAATCATCCACCTAAATGTCTTAGCTTTAAGTGCTTTTGTTGGAAGGTATTAAATACTAGACTATTTCTGTAGCTTTACCAGTTATTAGATATACTATGCATAGGTCGTTTGCGACTTCGGAGCAACAACTAAATATTTCCTTGGAATGCAAAATAAAATATTCGAATTTTACTTAATTAAGGGAAATAAATTAGCTAAAATTGGACTAATTGATCTAAATAATTAATACCAGTTTTATCATTATCAGTCGGCAATACCAGACTTATTACTGCACCAACTTGTGACCACTCAATAGGAGGCCATTTGACTTGCACATTAGCCTGGTGGCTTAATATGTTGCCAAAAATGTTGGTTAAGCTGCTGAGGAGTCCAAAAGTGGCTCATGACGCTTCAGGCGTACGCAAATGTAACTGGTGTTGTTAGCCTTAGTACCGAAGCCCTCATCGCGGCTTACTTAAAATTAAAGAAAAAAGCGAAAAATATTGTTCTAGCAGTTAACGGGGAATAGTCAAAGCACCTCCTATACAAACCAAGGCTCGCCCGCTTATTGGGTAGGTCACTGTTGATAGCCACTTCTTCGGAGTTATAAAGAAACCGGCATTAATAACAGATCGGATAATGTCTCATCAAGAAGATAAGTCTTTGGGTACATTCGAGAGAACAAATCCACGCAAGGCTTGCGGCCCTTGCGTTTCTTTGCAAAGCTCCGATGTATCTGTCTACACTCAAATGGTATAACTTAGCGAACTTTGCATAGTAAGAAAAAATTCCTAGAAATCTATTTGGCTACGTGTTTAATATACAGAAAAATGCCGTAATTGGATCAAATGTACTTTCGAACTAAAAAAGGATTGAAAAAGTACAATTGCACCTTATTTTCCATCACTGAAGACCAAAGGTTATAGTTAGTCGAAATCAATTCTTTCAAAGTATTTGTCAATTGACTCTTTCGAGGAGCCCACGGGGAATCACTGACATTAAGTTTTTCATAACTAAATATCTTGCTTCCATTTTAAATAAACACATTTTAGTTTATAAGAAAACTGTACGCATCTTCTGCGGATTTTTATTCGATAACTAAAAAAAAATATACAAAAGTGGTGTTCAAGTTTTATAACTACACTTATCTATTTACAAACTATTATAAGTGGAAGCTAATGGATTAAAACATTCAGTAGAAAATCATTAGACTAATGTACATATAAATATATATGTATTGTAGTTATGAAATTAAATATGTGTGCTGAATACAAAGTAAGTCTAAAAGGCGTTAAATTTTGAGTTGCTGCGTAACTTTTTTCTGCCTTAATTAAGCAGAACATTTTTGGTTTTGGCTAAAAAATATTTTTATAATCATAGTTTATAGTCTATTTTCCATTAAAAGCAGACACAATATGAATATGAATTAAATAAAAATTAGAAAAATTAGAATTAAAAAATATTGATATTAAAAATGACACAAAAGAGTTTGTATTTAAACAAAACAAGGCATTGAATGGCCTAACAGAACAGAGGCGGAAATGGGAAGAAGAAGTTATCAAAAGGCGGAAGAGACGACAGTTGCGTACAAATTAGATTTAAGTGAAGAAGTCTAATTCGATTTTTAATAAATTTATGAATACGAGTAGTCTAAGTGTTTTTTCATTTACATTTTGTGTTTGTAGGAGCGTGTAGGTTAGGTGGATAGCAAAGCGATTATTAAATGTATTTTTATGCATATTTACTTATTGTACATTATGTTTGATTGGTATGTATGCTGGTATGCAAACACACACACACATACTACTCGCAATTCGGTAGAGATATATTTGTTTGTTTGTCATCACAGTCAATATTTGTGAGTAATAAATAAAAAAAAATTAAAACAAATGCTAACAAAATAATCATAGACTTACATAACTAAGAAAATAAAATAAAAAATATAAAAACAAGATGAAAAACAAAAAAAAATTTAATTGAAATAAAAATATTATAAAAGCTCAAAAGAAAAGTGTGGGGAAAGGGCCCTAAGAACTTAATTTTTAACCGACTTCACAAACAGGAGGAGGTTATCAGTTCGTCGGAATATTTTTTTTTTGTGTTGCCTCACAGGTAGTTGCATACTAATTTGGTTTAAATCCGATCATTGGATCATGAAGAATTTAACGATAATCTTAAATTTGTATATGAGGATTGAACTCGGTTTTGTATTTTGCTTAAGAATTACTTGTTTTATTTATTTTTTGGATTTGAATTCTTTCGATGTAAGCAAGTCTACCCTTTATCTTTCGCTGTGTCTATCTAGAGAGTTAAGCTTGTTAATGCACCCAAGAATTAAAAGTGATTACATTTCCCAAGAGAAAAAAAGATGCCTGTCTATCAATTGGGATTAGGATGCTCTGATTTCGGTAGTTTCTACGTAAATTTAATGGCGTAAACTTTCAAATGAAATACGCTGGAATAATTCCCTACACTGGGAGAAAATTCAGCTGAATATATTTCTTCCAACACAAGATTTGGTGGCTACTATATAAAAAAAAAATTTTCTATCACCAAAAAAAATTTTCTATCACCAAATAATTTGCTGAGAGAAACATATTTTAATAAAATAACTAAATTCTTTTTTCAGTGCAAGGTTGTAGGTCCAAAAAATTTAAACTTTTTTTTAGTTTTTAAGTCATCTAAACAAATACCGGTTGCCAGTCCGGAAGCGCCTCTAAAAAGAGGAGATAACCCTTTTTATTCGAAGACTACGATTTTGCTATGTCATCTCTTGGAGATAGAACTAGTGGCAACGAAGACCCTAATTTCTCTATATTTATAGATAATATAGCATTTGTTTCTCAAATCCGTTTGTAACAAAATTTATTTGGCAACCGTTCTGTCGCTAAAATAGTTCTTGCGGCTCAAGCTCTTGCTCCACAGGTTGTTATAGGTTGGCAAAACATTGGAGCTTGGAGGTGGTCACGTCCACTGTTTTCTCTCCAAGGATAGCTTCCGCATACCTACATTAAACACAATATTAAAATTAACTTTTGTGATGTGATCAAATATTGATTTACAAGGATCGAAAAGCAAAAATAATCTAAACATAAAAAATAAAAATTGCTAAAAGCAAACGTGAATAAACCAAAGTGTGGAATTCTGAAAATGAAAAAGGTTAGCCAAGCTATCTATGAAACGAAAATAATTACAAAAAAAAACTTAAACACGTAAAAACTTAAAATAGACATATAACACCTAACTAAAGCATTGCTAAAACTAATGTAAATCAGGTTATGCCTCACGCGCTCGCTGGCATATTCGGCCTTTCAAGGAAGGCAATTACTGTCGTCACTTCCGCATTGAGCTCGGTACTCGAATCGGCTGGCCACTGTGGCGTGGTACTTGTGTCTGCTCTAGAACTTTCATCGCCATCGGAACCCTTAGGCGCTTCCGCACCCCCATCGTCCTCTGGCTTATAAACCGGGTGTACATTCGAAATTATCACAGTTGAATCTTGATTCACATTCGAGTTAGAATCGATGCTAATGGGTGGATTCGTTTGAAAATTCGGTGTCAAATTGGTTATGAATTTTGAACGGGTCGTCGACGTTGTCGTCATTAACAGCAGCGGCAGCGAAGTCGTTTGAGTTGGCATTGGTGTTGTCGCTGGCGTCGGCATGAACTTTGGCAACGCTACGCGCACCGCATGAAGTACGCTATGCGGGTGTAAGCGTACATTTATGCGCTGGCTAGCGCTGCCAATTGTATTCGAATTTACATTGGCGGCTGAAATCGAATGATAATTTAAGTTTGAGTGCGAATGCAAATTGGCGCTCCTCTGTTGTTGTTTCGGTTCCACTTGCTGTTGTTGTTGTGCCAGCTGCTGTTTGCGCAGCTCTTCTTCTTGTTGTTGCTGCTGCTGTTGCTGCTGCAATTGCGCACCTAACTGTTGTATGCTCGCATTAATTTGTTGCGTTTGCTTTTGCTTATAATTCTCCACGCGTCGAATATTCCTCACAAGGCGATTGTACACGAGCGACTTGACATCGATCGCCCATAAAAAGTCCAAATGATTGAACTTCTCCATGGGCACCAAATATTTGTCAATCACATTGGGCAATTCGCGTGCCAAACGATCGACGCCCGTCGTCGACACCAGCATGTCGTTCATCGAGTAATAGAGTGCGACCGGCACCTTCACCTTGGACAGATCATAATCGGGCGGTGTGATGCGATTATATTCGAGTTGATTACGCAAATAGCCACGATCGAATTTACGAAAATGTCCCGACTTCATGAGTTGCCCGAAGTGCTCCAGTTGCTTGATTGATGCGCCGGAGGGTGTGTGACTTAGCATGACAGGCAGCATAGTCTGCAAAATATTAAGGAAAGAGTTTAGAAGAGAATTAGATGGCTTAGGACGCGCAAAAAAAATTCAAATCCACAAATATTGAAATATTGAATTTATAACACATAGCGTTTCCAAAGTTTTTAAAAATCAGATTAATTGCATTTTCTTGAAACAGAATATATATTTTTCCAATTCGATCTATGAGCCTATATGCTCGCATGCGTTTGCTTCACATGGAAATACTATGTTTTCAGTGACTCCTGCCCCTGCCAGCGAAATAGCAGATCAGTCGCCTGGGAAACAAAAGACTTAAGACACGAACTTGATCATGATTGAAAGCTAGTGGAAAGAGTATTTTGCTTCTTCTGCACCCCAAAATCGCAACCTGTAAATGTAGATGTGCCAGTTCATAAAACAAATAAGTACACAAATATAGTTTAATTCAGTTTTATCGAAATGTAGAGTATTCAACTGGCTAGGTTTACTTAATGGTTGTTGATCGTCGGCCCATTTTCAAGCGCCCGATTGTTTTATGCACAACGACAGAGTACAGGGTTTGGCGTAAGAACGATGAAATAGCGAAGCATATTTTAGGGAATAATCTTGCTATGCGTAGAGGAATATATTTCGGTTTATCTGCAGTTGGATGTACTAAAATTAAGAGTTCAGGTCAGCTTTTATTACGGAAGCTAGCCGGAAGGTTTTCAAATGCTGGCGAATTTCTGCCAGCAATTTTGCATACCTTGTTCGCATCAACGAATACCTGCACCTTAAAAAAGTGTCAATTACCGCGTGACCAGCCTTTTAATGGTTGCTTAAAAGGTTTATCGGGCGTTTTGTGTGAAAGGCTAAGGCCCACCGTGATAAAAATTAATGGTCTGGCCTTATATATGGGTACCACCTTGTATTCGTTAAACGTGAAATCTTGGAAAAAGGCTTACGAGGAGAGCATCGACTCACATCATCTCTATTTTCATTTCAAGCATTCGGCAGAATTCGTTACAGCCTCTTCAAGTTGTGCGATACCAAATGAGATTACAGACAGGGAGACTCTCCATCGTGGGCTTTCTTTAACCTGATGCTGGTTAATTTAAGAACATCACGCCCTGCCATTGTGTTTTTATAAACATAAATTTATATTCGTCAATGATGGGAATAGACTTACTAAATAAATAACGAAAAAAACCGTTACAAAGACATTAGGTGCATTTTTTCTAAACGAGCGACAAAAGAACGCTCAACTGGGGTAAAATTTTACGTTTAGCTACTTAAGCAACCCTGTTGGTATCTGGCAAGAAACGTGTGATTAGTTCAAAGGAATGTAGATACAAAAACCAATAGAAATCAGTTAACATGGGAGGTATTAGCATAATATATACTTATTTAAAATATGAATAATTTATATTTAATATAAGGAAACAAAATTTTCCCTCCCCACTTTCCCATTAACAATTCACAATAGAGGAGTTTTTCACTGAACAACCCTACCCTTCAGGTCGGGTATTTTTTAAGCGACCCAGCTGAACTCGGATAAATAGCCGAGTTTGCGTTGTATTTCGTCATTTAAGCGGGTGTTTTTTTTGTAGCACGGTTGCAAAATATTGCACTTATTATTCATTTCAGCGAATCAGTCGAACAATGATCACCTAAATAGATATGCACTATATATATCTGTGTTCGTATGGAAAAGTAGCTTATGTCTAAAGGCTGGCTTTAGTATAAATCGGCATTCGCAGCATACGATTGCGAATAACTCACTGGCGCTGAACCGTTGAACAACTTTTGGCAAATAAACGTGCAAGAAATAGTTCCGATACTAGCAAGTCAATATTCTTACCAAGTTTCATCAAAAAATTCCTTGCCGTTTAAAGAATAAAGGGAATGCCGCATTATACTAAAGCCAGCCTTTCGACATAAGCTACTTTTCCATACGAACACAGATATGTATGTACATGAGTGAAGTGCCAAACATATGGAATAATAATTATCTACGCATTGGTTACATATAGTCAACCAGTGCCCTCTGTCATATCTGACATTTCCTACAGTAATGCGGTGCCATAGACATCCAAGTGGCATTGTTTGCTCTATTTACAGCTGCATTGAATGCAACATAATTGACGCACCCATAAACAGGCATACCGCCGGCATTCGGGTCTTCTATGTACTCGTCAGCCGGATGTTCAAATTTGGTGACTGATGGGTGAGCGTTGCATGTTAATGTGATAACGCTGTGGGCAAAATTCGCAAAATTCACAACGCGATATCCAGCGATGGTTCCACGAAGCAAACTTGCATGTGCACATACATACATTCGTACCATATATACTAGAGGGCTGCATGATTTGATTATTTTACTTCACATACAAAACACTTAATGTTTGGAATTTTGTAAGTTATGAATAGATATACATTTTGTTTTAAATTTTCTACCTTCAAATCGAAGAATGTGAATGAATGAATGGAAAACATTCAAATCGTTTAAACTCATTTCGGTAAAAGTTTTTTCTACAAACGGGGTTTTTCGTATTGTAATAGGATCGCAGCAATGCATGGTGTAATAATAACAAGGTGTTGTCAGTTCCGGTCACGCATTTTAAAGTATTAGAAAAGGTACTACTTATTTACAACTTTTAATCCGTTTGTGCATACTATTTCAAATTAAATTTAGAAAAATGTAAAATTACAGGCTTATAAGCCTGAATATATGTTTGTATCGTTAGCTCCACACAGCTTGGACATATATTGTAACTTATAAAAAAGTAAAGGCCGTAAAATAAAGCAATTTCCTATAAGACTGTAAATGATTTTTTAAATAGATTAAAACACATAAATATCGATAATATTAGCGAAATCGTAATTTAACTATACTGCCGCTCTATTCTATTATGACAATGCAGCAAAAGATATTAAATATAAAAAAAAAATGCCTTTCCATACAATTTTTGTGTACGTCTTTTTCCATTGATTACCACGATATCTTTTATATTTTATATTTTGAGGACACAAATTATACCAATCCAGCAATTTTAAATAATTAATATCGTTCTGAAAACAACAAGTTCTTTAAACATCGCGATAAAACGAAATACCAAAATGGAGTATTTTAAATACTATTTCCCAACGAATAGTAGTATAAAAATTAATATCGGCAGCACTGAAAATAAGCATGCCGATCTTGTCCAAATTACAACAAATACGTCGCTACTGAAAACACCTTGTTATTATTCCACCATGGCAGCAACACATACATACATACATATGTATGTTTGTACATATGTGCACAGAAAAAATAATTTTGGATAGTCATACAAAAAATTTGTCATTTATTTCAATTCAATTTATTTTCACTTTGTTTGAATATTCTAATATCGACACATATATCAGAACAGGTATTCACTCAAATTCCAAAAAATTTTAGGCCAAAATCATTTTGAATGAATTCATGCAGCCCTCTAATATATACATAACTATGCTTTAAGGCATGAAAAAAAGGTCAGTGCCTATGACAAAGACAATGGATTAACGCTTGATACTATCATGCATACAAGAGTGCTCAAACGGTGGGCGAAGCGTTTAGGTTTTTGTTGGCAGCTGTCATTCATCATAACTCACAACTCCACATTGTTCTAGCTGTGCAATTGCAGAGCAAATGATTTCTGGAGTTAGTACTGAATTTTGTATGCGCGTATGCTAGTTATGATCGCCAATTATGCAACAGCAACCATAATTGTGATACTTACATACATACATATATCTTATTAATATATATTCAAAACAAAAACATTACATATACTCCAATATGCATACTTAGTAGTCGGGCATTTGCTGTCTGCCTAGCTCTCGCCAATTATTTGTTTATTTCTTTACATTTACAGGCAGAGCACAAAATAAAGCAAAACAATTAAATGTTGGCAACGCCGTCAGCTGTGCATTCGTTTGCGCGCACCCGTCGTCAGCGAAAGTTAATTTAGTGGCATTTAGGAATTTCAAGTGACAAAATTGTTGGGGTGTGTGCTAAGTGCTCTATGCATTATTTACATACAAATATACATAAATATGTATGTATGCATGTAGGTGTTCGCACTGCGCACTGCTGTACGTGCAAAGAAATTATTTATAACAAAATTATGTCACCGCATGCGGGGTCTTTGACATGCGAACGTAATCGTAATTTGTGATGACCTGCTTTGATAAAAAACAAAAATTACGCATTTACATGGTGATGAAGTGATTATCATAATAGATTCGGGCCAATTGTAAGTTGAATTAAATTAAATTCATCAACATATTTATATCTTGAAAATGGCTAGGTTAATTGAAGAACATAT